CGAAGCCAGCGCGCATGGCACCAGCGCTCTATGCCAGCACGCGGAGCATCAGCACGAATGCAGGCTTACATGAACATACAATTAGGCAGTAGTAGTCTAGCTTTGTTAGGTACGAGAAAGAACCTTGGAATTGCCAAGCACTCAAAGCAAGAGCCAGGGTGACATGAGCAAACCCTCGTAGTTGTGCGTTCTCACCCACAGAATGCTAACCCACTAGAGGTCAGCACCGATAATGACCTGTCACATCAATACCGATAATGACCTGTCACATCAATCCTGATAATGACCTGTCACATCAATATCGGAGCGTGGAAGTGTAACATAAGCAAAATCAACAAACGAGCATTATTGCTGTACCTAACCCCCATGCCCTGCAGCAGCGGTGGCTTCGTCAGCCCCGTCGACCTCTCGACATGCGAGGTGGCGACGTCAGAGGCGGGGGCAGTGGTGGCGTCGACGGCGGCGGCGGCGGCGTCAACGACGGTACGATGACAGCGGCGGCTGCGATGGCGGGTGGCGGCAGTGCCAGCAGCACCTGCGGCATTGGCGGCGGCTTTGACGGCGGCGACGAAGACCGCGGCACCCAGTGATGTGGCCCGGCTCAGCAACGGCGGGGCCGCATGGGGCGAGACAGCCATCGACTGCGGCGGGGAGATAGGGAAATGCAGAGGAGGGGGGGCGAAGCTGATGCACGGCGCCATGGCGGCACGGCGCTAGCTGGCGTGCGGGCGAGCTGGCCGGTGCTAAAACATTGCGCGGCCCGCTGCCGCCCGTCGACGATGCCACGGCAGCTCAACGACGCCGCCACAGCGCAGCGTCGCTGCCGCGGCAGCACGTCGACGCTGCCACAGCGTGGCGTTGCTGCCGCGGCAGCACTTCGACGCTGCTATGGCAGCACGACGAATCCGCCATGGCAGCACGACGAAGCCGCCATGGCAGCACGTCCTGGCTGCCACGGCGGCGCGGAAGTGAGGAGAGGAGGGAGAGAATGCTGCGGAAGAGTGATGAGCAGGCCTGAGCAGAAGGACCTGCTCTGAAACCATGTTGAGATAGCTAGGAACTAGGAGCTAGGCATAGGAATGTAGCGTGAGGTTTTAGGCTAGGAGGAAAAATATCGACAGAGAAGAGAATGAGATTAGAAGAGAGAGGGATACAAGGAGGGAGTTGTACCCTCTACAGTAGGTTCCAGTAACACCTACCAAACCTACAATTATATACATATAATATATAATTTAACACACCCCCTAGGCTTGGTAGCCGAAAGCACACCACACATGCAGCACCCCCAATACCCTTGCACCCTCATGCCCTGCAGCAGCGGTGGCTTCATCAGCACCGGTCGACCTCACGACATGCAAGGCTGCGACGTCAGCGGCGGCGGCAGGGTCGACGGTGGTACGACGACAGCGGCGGCTGCGACGGCGAATGGCAGCGGAGCCAGCGGCACCTGCGGCATCGGCGGCGGCTTCGGGGGTGGGGGGGGGGGGGGGGGGGGCGAAGCTGCAGCGAGGCGCCAGGGAGCATGCCACCCCGTGTGGCGCGCTGGCTGCATGCGGGCGTGCTGGCAAGCGCTAAGACCGGGCGCTGACCGCTGCCGTCCATGCGCTAGCGCGTCGACGCCGCCACGGCAGCACGACATGGCCGTGGTGGTGGCGCGGAAAGAACAGGAGGGAGGAGCGAGTGTTGCAGAAGCGTGATGTACAGCCTCGAGCAGAAGGACCCATTCTGGTACCATGTTAAGATAGCTAGGTAAGGAGAGGAGCCATGGCTATGGAGAGAGGGTTTTAGGCTAGGAGAAAGTTGACGAGAGGAAAGAGGGTTGGACTAGAAGAGAACGAGATACAAGAAGGGGGGGTTGTCCCCACTACAGTAGGATTTAGGAATGTAGCAAACCTACCAAGCCTAAACAACTATATATATACTGAGAAAGCTTGCTTTCTTGTCCTTTGCGATAGGCATCGTTCTCATTTCAAGTGGGCTAGGTACAACAAGCTCTTACTAGCTTATACGGATCTAAACATACATACATCATCATCCTAGTTGTGCGCTCCCGTTCAAGTGATCGGCTGGCAATTGGAGATGCACGGTTGTCTAGGGGGGGTGGGTGGGAAATTTGACTGAGCCGTTTGAAAAATGAGAGACGTGGGTGGAGGTAAATGAGCTCCAACCCACGTATTTGTAGTTGGAGAAGGGCGAGTAGCGCGCTTCGACGATGCCCAAAACTTCAGTACAATCAGCTTCGCTTTCACAATACACAATTTTTGAAAAACACTGCATGTGTGTTAAAAAAATATAATATTGAGAAAGCTTGCTTTCTTGTCCTTTGCGATAGGCATCGTTCTCATTTCAAGTGGGGTCGTCGAGACATGTGCAGTGGGGGCTTGCGGTGGTGGAGAAGTGCCTCGGCGTGTTGTGCAGAGGAGGGTGCCGCCGCCAGGTCTTGCAGGCGACGAGATGCGCCAACCAGATGATCAGTCGCGGGCGTGACGTACATCTCTTTCACGGTTTCACTGCGCCAACGGCCCAGGCGTTTGAAGATCCTGTCAGGTACCCCAGAGTTGGCGTCAACCGTGGCCGTGCCTTTCCGAAAGGAGTGGGTGCCTAGGTGCTCTTCTCCCAAACCGATTTTCACGAAGGCTTCCTTGCACCAGTTGCGGATTGTGGTGTATGAGGGCGGTCTGGCTGTGCCGTGGCTCGGTAGGTGGGGTCCGAAGACCCGGATGAGCGGTCCCGAGGACTGGGGGTTGTATCCTGCGAGTTGGATGAGCCTCTGGGTGCCCTGGACCGGACAAAAGGGTCTGAGGCTTGCCGCGATAGGGGTCCATGTGCCTTGGCTGGCTTGGTCGGTTTTTGAGTGGGGGATGAGTAGCCACATAGCTTCATCTTCAAATTGGATGTCCTGCCATTCGATGGCCACCAGGACCGAGTAGCGCAAAAAATCGGCGTACATGAGAATCGGGATCAATCCTTTTTTGAACATGGCGGGGTTGTTTGACTGTAGGAAGGAGGCCGCCATATCGTGGACATGATGGAATGAGACTGGCTCTTAAATATTGTTAGGACGCGAGCAGTTTCGCTTCGCGAAGTCGCGCACTTGGGAGGTGAAAGGGCCAGTGGTTGAGCATGTTCAGCCTGTCATCCTGAGGGCAAAGCTCACAGTGGAGCATGTGAGCTGAACCACCGACCAGGAGGCCTTGCGTTGGGTGAGATACACCAGGTAGAGCGCGAGGGTCATGTCCGATGCCGGCAAGAATGTCAGGTTGACCTTCGTGCAGAAGGCGCGGAACTTCACCCCGTAAGGCTCGTATGTTCGGATGGTTGAGTCGGCACGAGAGCGGGCGAGCATGGAAAGCGGGTCGTTTTGGAGCTTTGGAAGCAGATCTGGGGACATGCTGAGGATTCTGGTTAGTCAAATATCATGCGGAGTGCGACGATAGTGCTGTTGGGTAATCCTGTGCCTGAGAATGCTTGACGGTGGGTGCCAACTGTAAGACACTGGCTGCCATGTTCAGCGTGGCACCCCAGCTGTGGGCACTTGCGTCTATGTGGATGACTGCATCGTAGCTGTGCCGCACATGGAATGGGGCACCGTTGAAACGGTCGAACTCTTGGATCCAGAATCTCAGCTCTTTGATGGCGGGTGGGGGGAGGAGGACCATGCTGCTCCATGTCGACGCCTCGTTGATTGTTTCTAGCATGGCATGGCTGAACGCTCGGGCACGGGGCGGCATGAACTCGAACGTCCCCGGTGAAGAGTGATAAGGCGCAAAGGTAGGCGCTTGATTGTGTCGCCCGAACGATGAGTTGTCGAGGCTCATCGGCGCTAATCCCATGTTTCCTCCGTTGCTCTGTATTGAATGCGCAGGTGTTCTTGTCTGCTGCTGCTGGTCGAAGTGTAACATGAAGCTGAAGAACCTTTCCATAAGGTTCGGGTCCACGCTTGAAGAGGGTGATGGGGTCACCATTTCTGGTGCTCTTCCAGTTGTTTCTTGAGCGGCGCCGTTCTCGGTCTGCAGTCCTGAAGTGTGCAGTCCAGAGTTGCCGGGTTGAGTGTCTTGGCCACTGGGTGAGCCCGTAGAAATCTTCTTGCCCTTGTTGTCCATGACTTGTAATTAATGAAGTTGTTGGTGTGCTAACTGTAGATAGAGTGTAGTTGCTTGGAGTTTGGTCTCTGACCAGCTCTCATACCATGTTGGGCTGAGAAAAAACCCTTAGGATCTTTCAGAGACTAAGTCCCAGTTGTAAAAGATACTTGAGTAGTGCAGCGGAAGTTTGAGAAGTTGAACCCTTGCACTAGTATGTGAGAGCAAGTGATTGATTAAAAGGAACAAGCATACAGTAATATATAGAAAATAGGAAAAATGAAGCAGTTGTAGAATACAGTTGAAGGAACGGTTATCGAGTCGCACAGCGACTCGATGGTCGATTCGGTTACCACCCTTGCAGTTGTAACGGCCAATCGCAACCTCCGGTTGCGACCCTTCGAGTCTTTCGTCCTTTCGTATTCTTTCGTCCAACCTCCTTGTGTAACCTCCGTTGACCCGCATACTCGATACGGCTTCACTCAAGTGTGATGTTACACTTCAGAAACGCTTAAGTCCTTGAGAAATTTCCAACAAGTATAATACAGGTGTAACATACTAGTACAAGTATGATATATTGATACTAGGAAGATCAAGAAGGAATCTATGGCCCTTTGGATGATTTCCTGTGTGTAATCAATTGTGAAGCTTGAACCGGGGATGCACATCATTCTTTGTGTTTCCTTGCAAGGGTAGAAATTGTCGGCCCAAGAAACGGCATGGTCAACGAGACGTTGACTTGATTTCTTCGTCCTGTTGACTCGACGTTCGTCCTGCCGATGTGGCTTCCGCTCCTTGGGTCATTTCTTGACGACTGAGTCATCGCGCGTCGCGAGGTGCTTCATGAGGTGGGAACCCTTCGCGACGCGATGGGGTACAAAATGCGGCAAACCCATTCGGCAATTCATTCCACACACATTCCTTCAGCCTGAAGATAGGAAAACAGGAGACGACCATTCCGATCAGATACACGGAATTGTTCGTAGAACCCTCTGCGGCAGCTAATCTTATTCCCCAAGCGATTTCTGTTGTAACATCCGCTGGTGACAAGCGCAATGACGCAGAGAGTGTCGCTCTCGCCGAGCCAGCATCCTCGCCACAATCTGAGCACCTGCCTTCTCCTCCTCTCCCTCCTCGTCTTCTCGTCTCTCCACGCCACGTTGGCCTTTCGCTCCTCCGCGGGGCTCCGCGTGGACAAGCTGCGCGGAATGATGCGCGGAAAGACGCAAGGCGGACGCTCGACCGGACAGCAGCAGCAGCAGGGCGGCGGAATTGGCGGAGGAGGTATGGACGGCGGCGGAATGGGCCGGGGGGGAATGGGTGGCGGCGGAACGGGTGGCGGCGGAATGGGTGGCGGAGGAATGGTTGGCGACGGAATGGGCGGCGGCAGAATGGGCGGCGGCGGATTGGGTGGCGGCGGAATGGGCGGCGGTGGAATGGGCGGCGGCGGAATGGGCGGGGGCGGAATGGGAGGCGGCGGAATGGGCAGCAGCGCAACAGGCGGCGGCGGAATGGGCGGAGGTGGAATGGGCGGTGGGGGAATGGGCGGAGGCATGGGTGGTGGAACGGGAGGGCGTGGCTCAGGGTCTTCTGCTCCAGGGTCGCAGGCAGCACCCGGCGGAATCAGCAGCGGCAGAATGGGTGGTGGAGGAATGGGCGGCGGCGGAATGGGCGGCGGCGGATTGGGTGGCGGCGGAAGGAGCGGCGGCGGAATGGGCGGCGGCGGAATGGGCGGGGGCGGAATGGGAGGCGGCGGAATGGGCGGAGGCGGAATGGGCGGAGGCGGAATTAGCGGCGGCGGAATGGGCGGCGGCGGAACGAGCGGCGGCGGGATGGGCGGCGGCGGAATGGGCGGGGGCGGAATGGGTGGCGGCGGAACGGGCGGCGGCGGGATGGGCGGCGGCGGAATGGGCGGGGGCGGAATGGGCGGGGGCGGAGTGGGCGGCGGCGGGATGGGCGGCGGCGGAATGGGCGGAGGTGGTATGGGCGGCAGCGGGATGGGCGGCGGCGGGATGGGCGGCAGCGGGATGGGCGGCGGCGGAATGGACGGAGGAGGTATGGGCGGCGGCGGGATGGGCGGAGGCGGAATGGGCGGAGGAGGAATGGGCGGTGGGGGAATGGGCGGAGGCGGAATTGGCGGAGGTGAAATGGGCGGTGGGGGAATGGGCGGAGGCATGGGTGGTGGAACGGGAGGGCGTGGCTCAGGGTCTTCTGCTCCAGGGTCGCAGGCAGCACCCGGCGGAATCAGCAGCGGCAGAATGGGTGGTGGAGGAATGGGCGGCGGCGGAATGGGCGGCGGCGGATTGGGTGGCGGCGGAATGAGCGGCGGCCGAATGGGCGGCGGCGGAATGGGCGGGGGCGGAATGGGAGGCGGCGGAATGGGCGGAGGCGGAATGGGCGGAGGCGGAATTAGCGGCGGCGGAACGAGCGGCGGCGGAACGAGCGGCGGCGGGATGGGCGGCGGCGGAATGGGCGGGGGCGGAATGGGTGGCGGCGGAACGGGCGGCGGCGGGATGGGCGGCGGCGGAATGGGCGGGGGCGGAATGGGTGGCGGCGGAACGGGCGGCGGCGGGATGGTCGGCGGCGGAATGGGCGGAGGCGGTATGGGCGGCAGCGGGATGGGCGGCGGCGGGATGCGCGGCGGCGGGATGGGCGGCAGTGGGATGGGCGGCGGCGGAATGGGCGGAGGAGGTATGGGCAGCGGCGGGATGGGCGGAGGCGGAATTGGCGGAGTTGGAATGGGTGGTGGGGGAATGGGCGGAGGCGGAATTGGCGGAGGTGGAATGGGCGGTGGGGGAATGGGCGGAGGCATGGGTGGTGGAACAGGAAGGCGTGGCTCAGGGTCGTCTGCTCCAGGGTCGCAGGCAGCACCCGGCGGAATCAGCAGCGGCAGAATGGGTGGTGGAGGAATGGGCGGCGGAGGGATGGGCGTCGGAGGGATGGGCGGTGGAGGATTGGGCGGCGGAGGGATGGGCGGTGGAGGTATGGGCCGTGGAAGGATGGGCGGCGGGGGAATGGGCGGAGGGATGGGCGATGGCGGAATGGGCGGCAGAGGTATGGATGGCTCCGGCTCGTTTGCTCCAGGGTCGCTGGCAGCACCCGGACTGGGCGGATCTGGGATAGGCAGCGGGATTGGAGGAGGCATGGGCGGACCTGGTGGGAGCATGGGCGGACCTGGGGGCAGCATGGGCGCACCTGGGGGCAGCATGGGCGGACCTGGGGGCAGCATGGGTGGACCTGGGGGCAGCATGGGCGGACCTGGGGGCAGCATGGGCGGACCTGGGGGCAGCATGGGCGGACCTGGGTCATCTGCTCCCGGATCAGAAGGAGCCATGAGTCATGGGGGGAGCATGGGCGGAGGCATGGATGGGGGTATGGGAGGAGGCATGGATGGGGGTATGGGCGGAGGCATGGATGGGGGTATGGGCGGAGGCATGGATGGGGGTATGGGCGGAGGCATGGGGCGTTGAAGGGACAAATGGAAGAAAAAATTGCAAAGTGGACTGATGCTCGCGACTTCTTTGGAGATTAGGCAACGGTTGCAGGGGCCTCAGTCGCTTTGCGGGGCTCACAATCACTGCCAGAACTTGGCCGCAGCAGCCCTGACAGTGACAGGCGCACGGAACTGTCTGTCGGTGCTGCTTCGTCCAAGATCTTGACAGTCGGTGCAGTGCAGCCACTTGTGTAGTCACATCGCCTTTCATAAGATCTAGTCTTTGAACAAATGTGATACCTCTCTGTGTTTTGGAAAATGTGCGCTTTTTATCCCCTCTCTTCCCGCTGAAGCAGAAGGATGCTAGCTGTTATGTAACATCATGAGAGAAAAACGATAAGGTACATTATGTTATGTCATTATTTCACAATACAGCTACCTCTGCAATTCAAAGCATTGCACCGTGAGGTAACTAAACTTTGTTGTATCCATTGTCACTTGAGTCGCTAGAGCCACTAGAGTCACAACACAAGACTGCTACCTACAATCCAAAGACCTGATCAAGACCGGTACCCGATGCATTGTGGTACATGGTACCTGGTACCACTATGGCACAATGCCATGACATGGCACAATGTTCCAACTGTGTCATATGACAAAGAGGATGAGGTTAGGGCAGTAGGTCATAGAAGCATCATCTCACCGAGGTCATTTCTTCGTCCCTGGTACGACGCTGTGAACACATCCTTTGCTACCACACCCTGCAGGGACATGGGCGATGAGAGTTGGGAAGGGAGGAGATGGGAGATGAGAGATGGGAGATGGGAGACGGCAGATGATGCCGGGGGACACAGACGGGACGCTGCTAGAGAGCTCTGCTATGTGAGGGTCAACCAAGGAAAGAGGGGGCGGGAAATGGGGGTGAGAGGGGGGAAATGCGGAGCCCCAGCAGACATCTGAAGAGAAATGAAGAAAGCAGAGAGTATGCCATGCATGCATACATTCGTGTGGGCGTGAATGAATGTGAAGATGCATGCCGGAATACGGAAATAAACTGCATGCATCTTCACATTCATACGGAATGCATGCCAACAGTCAGACTCTCAACACACCAGATTGGCAAAGACGTTGTGTTGGCAGGCATGCACAGCATGGTAGCATGGCGGGCTTTGCTAGTCAACATAAGTTACCATGCATGCACTAAGCCTCTGTTCATGTTACCCTAACCTCACTGTCACTCTCTCTATCTGTGCTCTGTCTGGCAACATTAACAGCTCTGCAAGCATGAAAGTCACAACAGACGTGTTATGTGCAGTCTTGTCTGTCTGTTGCTGCCAGACATAGCACATCTTACTATCTCTGCTGACGTCACCCTGACCATCGCTGGGGTGACACCAACTTCAGTGTCGATCTCAGCTGATGTCAGGCTGATAGACATCCCTCCCAGGACGTCCACTATCTCCATCAGCAGCCCCAGCCAGTCCGCTGCCACCACCCTAAACTCGTTGCCGTGCTATCTGGCAAAATTGGAAAAGGTGTGAGGGACAGGCGTGTGGCAACGCCTGTTGCGGGATGAGCGGCTGCAGGATCAGACATTGAGGGACATACAAGACCCTGTCCTGGCATGGCCTATCTAGGAGAGGAGAGCGTCGGCAGTTTCACGGTTGGTACCACGTCCACCATCGCCATCAGCAGCCCTGGCCTATCTGCTGCCTACTTTCACCCTCCGCTCACAACCGGGGTTGTCTGCTAGAGGTGTGACTGACATGCGTGTGGCAACTCCTGGTTGCAATGCGGGGGAGGAGCATGCACGCGTGGAGTGAGGCGAGGGATAGGATGCAGATCCACTGTCTCTGTCAGCACCCCTAGCCATGGGATGTGCAGCGAGGGAAAGAGGGGGAAGGGGGGGGAGACACGAGTGAAGAGGAAACGAGTGTTGATCGATACGGTGGCAAAACATCCAGTATTGATCAGCCGGCCACTCGCACCATCAGGTCACTGCCCGTGGGGTCTGGGAGACAATTCGATTATGGGGCGTGCCCTTCGATTGCTGGCTGCAGGGTGGGATGGGGACGGAGAGACGAGAATGGGGGAAGAGGAGCAGGCCTCGCACACCCAGCAGGCATGGGCGTGGTGTGGTGTGACCCCAGGCAGGCTGGCTGGCAATTCTGCCAGCCTGTATCTTTGGTGTGGGGGGGAAGGGGGGGGGAGAGGTGAGGATTTACAGCCAAGGTTGGAACTTGGTCGGCTAAGTGACTAAGCGCATCTGCAGCCCACGTGAGCAGAGATTCCAAGGGCGGGGAGCGAAGTACTCGGCAGGCGGGCACAGCCTCACGATGTAGCTGAATCTGTGAGTTGTGGAAAAGAAGGTGCATCGGTAGAATAGCACACCTGTGCACCTTCCCACTGATGACACTGATGCATTTGCCCACACCCGTGCGTACCCTCTCGCCATTCCCCGCCTCCCTCCCGCCATTCCCCGCCACCCTCCCGCCATTCCCCGCCACCCTCCCGCCATTCCCCCCACCCTCCTGCCATTCCCCACCACCCTCCCGCCATTCCCCAACACCCTCCCACCATTTCCGAACCTCCCCTTCTGGCAATGCAAGGAGGCGGGTCACATGTGAGCCCCATCATACATCCACACGACTCCACCGAGCCCCAACATTGGCCCACCCACCATCCACCCCATTCATCATCACCCTCCCCCACCACCCACCACCCACCACCCACTCCGTTCCCCACCACCCACTTCGTTTCCCACCACCCACCACCCAGCCCTTTCCCTACCACCCCCCCCCCCCCCCCCCAACATGCCTCTCGCTCACAGTGAGTGGCGGCGACATGCGTGTGAGGCCTATTGCCAGCTGCGCGCCGAATTTATGAGAGTGAGAGAATGAGGGGGAGGGGGGGAGGAACGAGGAAGGAGGAAGGCGGAAGGGGGAAGGGGGATGCGGAGGAGGGAAAAGGGGGAAGGGAGTTGGAACTTAGAAAAAGGGGATGAGGGATGGCGCTGCATTGACAAGGTAACCCCTTCTTCCAAGGCGCCTCAAAAAGGCCAACAGGGAGGAAAGGAGCCCGAGGATGGGGAAGCGGATGGGGGATGGGGAAACGGATGGGGGATGGGGAAACAGATGGGGGATGGTCCTGCATTGATACAAGAATGCAAGGACGAGAAGGGGGATGTGCGTGCCATCCACCACCAGGTAATCTCGGATGAGCAAAGGGGGACGAGGTAGTGGGGTGGGCCTGGTGGATGGAATGGGAGAGCAGAATAGAGGGATATGTAGAGGGGGAAGCAGAATGAAGGGGTAAGGGAGGGGGGGCAGTTGAATTGAAGGGTAAGGAAAGGGGGGAGCAGAAAAATGGGGTAAGGGAAGGGGGGAGAAGAATAGAGGGGCACGGGAAGGGGGAAGCGGTATAGCGGGGTAACGGAGGGAAGGACAGAATAGAAGGGTAAAGGAGGAGGGGACGGAGTAGAGGGATACAGGTCGAGGGAAGCGGGTGGAGAGAGGAGACAAAGGGGGAGGCGCGAGAGAGAGATTGAGTGTGCCTTGTTGACATAGGTGTCTGTAACTCCAGCTTCCCCGCGCGATGAGCAGGGCATGTGGCGGAGGAGGAGCACGGCAAGCGGCGGAGCTCAAGCCAGACCCTGCCATGCTAGCCTCCATTCGACTAGCCGGATACATTGTCACTGGGTCAAGTCACAAGCTCGTCTTATCCTGAGCTCTAGCTTCGAACAACCTTTGCATCTCGTCACGTCATCCTGCCGTCCATTTATCAAAACAAGTCGCGGATCGGGATCTTCTCTAGGTTCGTCCGTGTGCTGGGACAGTGCCTAAGGGCGTGTAGCCTAAGGTTTTGAACGAAGTTCGGACGAAGTTCACCGCACTGTACCGCGCGATTGTCTAACCGAATAAACTCACAGTACCCCCCACTTCCGTTCGAACACCCCTTATTTCGAAACCGTATGTTACACACCCTAAGAGCGTGTCCAACGTGCAGTTGTGTCATCCACTGGCATCCGACGACATAATGAATCCTAGCCGTTGTCATTCGTCCGTACAGGAAACAACGGACGAGACTCGTTCTGTCATACGCCATCATCCGCTGTCAGAACACTTTGGACACGTTCTATGCAGTGCCTGCGGATTCTAGAAGGGATGCCATAAGCAGGAGTTTTGCCACAAACAGATCCTTCACACTCGAAGAAAACAAAGCATGTGGAAGTTTGTACAGTGGTGGAAGCAATTGTCCGTATGTTTTGCATTAATTTGGGTTTTGGCTTTAAGACCACTATACATTAAGCCTTAATGTTTAATGGTGGTACGATTTGGGAGGGGCACATAGTGGATGTGCTCACAACACAAATATCCAAAATAGTACATTAGATCTAACTCATATCCCAAAAGATATACAAAGGGTATATCCGGACATATAGTTCCAAGCAGAGAGAGCAAACTTCATAAGTGTGTTTCTAGTTCCTAGCCCACCGACCTTTGGCCTTGATCACTGTTCGCACCCTCCTAGGCAAGCTGCTGATGAGGCTAGAGCAAACCCCAGCATGAATCTTCTCCCATTCTTCCTGGACCAGGTCTTAAAGCTCCAGCATTCTAGAGGAAGGCCTTTTATTCTTGGCTAGCTCTCTTTTCAGGTAAGCCCAAAGGTTGAGATTTGATGAGAAAGAAGGCCACTCCAGGGCTATATACTCATGTTCTCCAAGTCATTCCTGCACTAGGCATCACAAATTCTTCGGGTCATTGTCCGCACCAAGATGACCTCAAAGGGGAAAATGCTATAGAAATGGAGGGTCAATTCGAGTTTGTCATGCAAAAGGCCCTCATACAGTCCTTCAATCTTGCATATGAACGCCACCCCTGCACATGTCACACATCCCCACACCATCACCAATCCTTGTCTCCATGGATTACCGTCTGTTTGATTTGGTGGTGCTGCAGGGTTGTGCCTTCACGAATCCAGGCAAACGCGCGGCCATTGGAGCAGAAGCAGTTGATATTGGTCCCATTTGACCTGATCACATGCTTTCGAACACAAATTGTCCACTCAGCATGCGACTCCACGAATTACAGCCGACCCCTGATATTTTTCCAGAACAGTCATGGCTTCTACGATTGCTGCACCGTGATTAGACCAGCGGACCCTAGTGTGTTTTTAATGGTGCAAGGGTGCACAGTCAACCGTGCAACGTTATCCTCAGTTTTGCGGTGTCTACGCCAGATTTGGCCGCTCTATTCGTGATTTTACCCTACAATGGTATGACGAAGATGATCCGTGCTTAGATGGGCCCGACCGGCTAATTGCATCTTTGGCCACACCTCAGCATCGCTAGTCTCAAAGATACCATTCAATCCAAAATCGTCCACAATACTCTTGCCTACACCCTTTTTTTTTTT